CCAGCCACGACCTTGTTGAAAATTGTTCGGTGAACTTGTTCAGCCTTTCTTCCAAAAGCACGCTGGGTGCCAAACAAGAAAGCAACAGCCTCGTCATCAACCTCCATCATCATATGGTACTTGTCAAGAATGATGGAGGGCAGCACACCATGTTCAGATTCAGAGAGGAACTTCTCCTTTTGTTCTTTCCTCAATGAAACCTTGCTTTTTTCCACCTTGCTTGCGTCGAGCCAAAAATCTGTGACATCCTTCCCATTTTTGCATGAAACTGATGTCGTGACCATGGCATTGGGGCCATGTTCTGATTCTTTCAGGATCTGTCCAATCTGGCCCTCAACTTTGGATGCACACAGTAAAGCTGGGTCTTTCTCAGAAGTCTTTGCCTCTTTTGGGGCAAGTGTTTCTGCGGCTTTACGCATGCGCCCAAGCACAATGTAGCCGATCCATTTCTCCTTGCTGGCCCTGCCAGGACGAACGGGCAACCACCCCTCCGCACTTGCTAGTGCCTTCAAGTCTTGGAAAGTGGATGCCTGCAACCCTGTCCACTCAGTCTGACCAAGCTTGCGAATGCGGAAGGCTTCAGATTCTACCTGCTCCCGCGCAAGCATTTTGTAAGGTATTTTCACTTCCGACTGGTTCGGCCCCAAGCAGCGCACAGTGAGGCGGAATATGCGGTGTCCTTTGTGCTCTCGTAGGTCCACAGCACTTTCCTCCTCCTGAGAAAGCAGGGTGGCGGAGGACAAACCATGACAAAACTGCGCATTGCAAAACTGGAAAGAATACAGCAAACTTTGCTTACTGGGCAGGCAAAGTAAAACGACAACGCTGGAACAGATTGAGGCATCTGCACTCTTCTTGGGCACAGCCGCTGAAGCTGGAGCCTGCCATCAGCAAAACAACACCTCTCCCTTCAATCGATCCAAGTGCCTCAACATGGCCAACTCTACGCACTGCAGGTCGGGCTGAGATATGCTGGACCACAAATAACCACGGAACCCATCAACGCCTCAGGAGCCTTTTCAGGACCAGCTGCTGAAGATGAGGCCTGCCACAGCAAACCCACACCCCTCCCGGAATTCCATGTGGCTAACTCTACATCCCATGCATTCACCATGGAGAGACTCAAATCATATGGAAAAAGCAATGGACTCCATCAAGGCCTTTGTCTCCTTTGGGTCAACTGCTGAAGCTGAATCCTATCAAAAGCAAACCACCCCCCCACACACCCCAAGCATCCACTAAGGGTCAACATGAGAAAAGGGCGTATGAGAACACATGCTTTCTCATTGCAGGCAAACCAAATGCCACATTGTTCCAAATGGCCAACTCTACATGGTATGATTCTATGAGGCCTCCGTCTCCTTGCTGGTGTCTCCCGCTGAAGATGAAGCCTGCACAAGCAAGCCAGCGCCCGCACCCCTTGCCCAAGATTCCAAGTGGCTAACTCTAGTCTATGCATTCGAGGCACGCCCTGAAACCAAATTGGCACTTGCTAGGTTGGAAGCATTCCAAATGTCTAACTCTAGTCTGTACACTCTGGACTCTTGTTAGACTGGGGCGGGCTACGTGGGAAGGCAAGCGGGACTGGCCTGCACAGCGTCCACATTCCCATTCGTGGCATCAGCCTTCAAACAAGCGGCGTCTATAGCTGTATCTGTATATGTGAATGTACAAGCACAGCCACGGATGCTGAGACCAAAGGGTCATTGCTTTCGCATGCAAGACAGCATACAAAAGATATTGCTTTTGATGGCCACCACACTCCATAGTATAGCAACGCTATATACATTCTGGATAACTCTACAGCATTCTGATGCCAAGACTAAACACTGACTATACATGGCGCTCACTCCGAAGCAGAAGCAGTTTGGTGTGCAGTTTTTTGCATCCACTTGTCACAGTGCATGCAAAGCCCAAATGAAGCGAGCGAGCCAGAATTGTTCAAACCATTGCACTGGCGCCTGATGTGAAAGCATTTGCCACCTTTTGCAGTGTAAATCATGCCCGGCAGTCTAGGGTTGTCAACTGTGCTCCTTTGATTTGGCTCTCCCTGGAATGCTGCTTGTGGTTGGCGCGCTTGCAACAGCTCCGCCTGAAGTTGCTCGATCATGTTGTTTTTAATGGCCAGCTCTTTCTCCAGCCACTCCATACGCTTGCGTTGCTTGGACATAGCAGCTTGGCGCGGATTCAGCAGGTCTGACAAGGGGTAAAAGGGAGCTTCCATAGGAGCAGGCTCCTTCGCAAACCAAAGAGCGATGACATACCCCATCTTGTAGACAGCACGCATTCCGCCCAATGCGGACAGAACCAGAACAGAAGCAATGATGTAATCTAGGATCTCAATGGCCATTTCTACTACCATGGGACTGTTGGCTGAACAGAACAAACAGCTTGAACCTCCGCAACAGCCCATGAATTGACACAAGCCGGGACAAACAGCTGTGCAAAGGTGGAGGCAGGGTTGGGAAGTGTTCATGCCTTCATCGCATCTGCTGAAGATACAGAAGAAGCCTGCCGCAAACATGTTGACAACCCACAGAACAAAACAAACAAAGGTCCCACACGTGGTAAACAAACTTCACGCAGCCTCGAATACTTCTGTTGGCTCTTCGGACCCAAGTGGTGACTCCAAGGCCTTTCATGAATTGAGAAGCACCGTTTCTAGATCTCTGTTATACTATATATACAGATTTTTGTAACACTTCAGGACAATGGCGCCTTGGCTTCATTCACTGGTGTTTTTCTCAAAGGCGAATCCTGCCAACACAGCCCACCACACTGCGACTAGAAGTTTGATATGAAATTCTACCAGCAAAAAGGTCATTTCGTTCATTTGGAACCTCAAGAATCTCCACTGATCCACTGGTTGAAGAAAAAACATCCACAGCTGGATTGCCACCATCCTGGCCGCAGGTTGCAGCTAAGTTGCAGGTGTAGGAAAGGAAGTGAAAAGGATAACTCAAAATGTAAGATGCAAGCATCCCAAAGAAAGATAGACAAACGCTTCCCTTCAACATCTGGAATCTGGATATCTCTAGCACCACTCTACACTCTACACAGCTTCAGCAGCTGAGCTCTGCTGCTGCTTAAGGCAACACATGAAAAAGCTCTTTTGTCCACTCAACCCCGAACCTGCACTTCAGCGGCTTGTGAAGCCTCAAAAGCCCGCAAGTGCATTTCACCATGCAAGAGTGTAGAACGAATCTTGGTGTGAGACGGCCACACGTGCTTGGTCACCACCTCCATCGCCACAAGAAGTTGAGGCCTCCTGGACGGTTGCAAATGCTTCCCCTTCACTTCCTCTCTAAACTTGAGAACCAAACACCAACGCACACTGCAGTCGAACAGCAGCCAGGAAAAAGGAAAAGTGGACAACTCTATCCAGATCTTGTGGAAAGAAACAACAGAAGCCCCACAAGTGCACAAGTCTATCCAGATCTTGTGAAAAGAAACAAAACTGATCTCAATTGGACACTTCCACGCTTTATGCCCACCAAAAAGACATTCTTGAAAGCATCCAAAAAAGGAGAAAGAAAGCGCTTCCCTTCCAACATGTGGATATCTCTAGCACAACTGCTCTCTGCTGCAGCAACAAAAGGCAACATGTGGACAACTCTTATTCCACTCGACCCCGACCTGCGCATCCATCTTGGATGCTCCATCATCTTGCAGAGCCTGCAAAGGGCTCCAACCGTGACACGGTGGGAACTCGCAGTTGCACATCATTTCACGCGGAAAGAACCTCTTGGTGTCAGACGGTCGCCCCACGACCATCTCCACAAGAAGTTGAGGCCTCCTGGACGGTTGCAAATGCTTCCCCTTCACTTCCTCTCTAAACTTGAGAACCAAACACCAACGCACACTGCAGTCGAACAGCAGCCAGGAAAAAGGAAAAGTGCTCAACTCTATCCAGATCTTGTGGAAAGAGACAACAAAAACCTCACAAGTGCACAACTCTATCCAGATCTTGTGGAAAAACAACAAAAGGAGGTGCGGTGCCACATCCCAGCCTCTACAGGAGGTGCCGCAAATGTGGCCTCAACAACACAACGTATAAAAGTAATATATGTATATATGTTTGTATCAAAAAAAATATATACACACGTTTTTGTGCCCAGTCTTCAAGATTGAACATGTTGCAGCTAGACAAGACCAGGCGCCCGGCGGGCAATTTGCGACGTGCTTGCATGGCAGCAGTGTTTTGGGCCGTGCAAGCTTTGAGGGAGCAGCGGGCAAAGCGAAATACACAAAACACACCGAAGTACACAAACATTTGATGGATGTGTATGCTCCTACTTCTATTCATGTCCCTTTCCTTGTCCTTTTCTGCTTCTCTGTTCCGTTCTTCCTTCTTCCTCCCAATGTTTGAAGGATCTTTGTGAGACTCTGATTTGTGTGTTCTTCATAGAGTTAGCCACAATCTGAAATTCCAGCCTCCTTAAACTGGGCTAGGCTAGCCTTGTCATCTCTTGTTGCCCGGTTTTCTGCAAACACTGGGCGTTTTTGACAATTTCTTATCATTGTGGAGTTCCTTTGTGGGACTCTGGTTTGTGTGTTCTTCATAGAGTTAGCCACAAT